GTTATGGACAAACTGTGACTAGCACAGAAGTCCAATAACAAAACACCACTCGGGTTCAGATCGGGGGGGCCGTTCCTCCCAATCACGCCCCTCCAGGTGTCACTGTCGCTGCCCACGTGGGCGTTGAAGTCCCCCAGTAGAACAACGGAGTCCCCAGTTGGGGCCTTTTCCAGCACCCCTCCCAGGGACTCCAAGAAGGCCGGGTACTCTACACTGCCATTCGGCCCGTAGGCACAAATGGCAGTGAGAGACCTATCCCCTAACAAAGTACCAGTTTTCTCTAATGCAAAAACATTCGCTTTCTCTTTCCTGACATTTGACCATTGTTTGACTGAGTGAAATACTGATCTACCATGTTAGCTGGTTTGTTTTCTGAGCAAGGTTAATAGAGAAGCTGCAGCACTTGCAACCAATCTAACAGCAAAATTGCACAGTCTGACAAATTTCCATCTGCTAGGTTATTTTAGAGCATGAACTTGGTGGGTGGAGAGAAATGCAGTGGGGAGTAAGGATGCCATCAGGGCTTTGATCATAATGTTATGTTAAGAGAAAATATATATATAATGTGAATTCAGCCAAGAAAAACAAACAGGAATCCATTCAAACATCCAAACATTGGGGTATGTCAGGCTCTTTTGTTTTGTCATCCTCTAACAACACTGGAGAGTACAGACAGGAATGCACCACTGTTTGACACCATTTGTCCCAAAACAGTGGTCCAGATTATGGTATAACCATCTATCCAGAAAAAGATCAACTAGGCTGAAGCTTTTACTCATCAGAAGACATCTAGTAAAAGACCCAGCACCAACCCTTATGTGAAAACAGAGAACCTCACCTGAAAAGCACCTTAAATTACTGAACTATTGAAAGTAAACTGAAAACATTAGGGACTGCAAGTATTTTTGCTTTCAGGAGGTCTTTATGTACATATACTTTATGTACACTATGAATATACACAACTTCCACAGGTATTTGAAACATGAATGTATCTCTTAAAAACAACTTAAAAACAATGTATCTCTTAAAAATAAGCGTGTGGACATGAAAAACAGTACTAGAATTGAGGAGTTTAAATACAAATATAAATGTATGTGTCATTCAAAATATATGCAAGAATAAGAGATTTAATCAAGAATGCATGAAGGAAACACTGTTTTAAATTTTCTGTGTATTACTTGTCTGGTGAAGAAGAGAATTACCTATGTAGAGATACTGCTTGCAGCCAATGATGCATGAAATTTTTTGTATAAGATGATGTTCTGGGGTAGGACTGGATAAGTCTGACTTCTTCCTACTCCATTCAAACATGTACTAGGTATAAGCAAACTGATTCTGGATTAGCATTGGTTGGATTTGTGTAATTGTGTGTGTGTTGATGTCATTGTTCTGCATGTTTGAAAGAATAAATCAAATCAAATCAAATCAAAAACAACAACAACCTATGTGCATGGTGAAAGTGGTTATTTTTAAGATTTCTGGGTATTCCACCAAACAAAGACACATCTACCTCTAAAAGTCATACTTCCCAAATAGGACTTTATCTTAAGGCCATCTGAAGCAATCCTCAAATGGGCTGCAGAATATCAAACACAATGACCAGTGCAAAAGAACATTTCTACAATGGCACAGTACTTGTCAGAGTGAGTGCATATGTAGTAACACTGTTTACAGTCAATAGTCTGGCTAAGAAAAACTAGAGTTCTGCCCCGGGAAGGAACCACAGTCACTGTAAGTGCTTTACATGGAAACAGGTGCTAATGAACAATTACTTTGCTTAACTATATTACTTTTGTGCAATGGTAAAGTCAGAGTGAATGCTCCAACTCAAGTTATTTCAGATGTAAACCAATAATATAGTACAATCTATAGGTCACCCAGTAGGCCATACATGCTGTGAAGTGTGAGCCAAGATAAACATCAACTCTGCCATTACGAGCTTGCTAGTTAAGTGTTGGGCACAGCTTGAGAAACAAGTCTTTGTTTCTGTAATGTCCTGTCAGGTCAGGTTGTGACAGGACACTGCGTGCTAATATGCTATCCCAGCAACACAATCGTTTCAAGATAGTTATTTGACTGAACTATCCATGTTAGCAAACGAGGCCCCACCGGCTCTTCAATATCCTCTAAGTTTAGTTTCAGCACTGCACCAATGCCTCCAAATGACTGACAGTGCGCACGACAGCCGGTGTCAAAATCTGTCTCTCTATCGAGATATGTTTCCCATAATCTGAACTCTAACACTATCCTCACCACTACTACATGAAACCGAGTTTTGAACAGGGGAAACATCTAGACAGGGGAACACATTTCGACACAAGACCGGTAGTAGAGCTCAGGGGGCTAAAGAGCGGCCAGTTAGCTTTGTGGCTATCACAGTCATTCACACTGGCATACTGTACTACCTATAACTAAGTAATATTAAGTTATGTGTGCTACTTCGGGTTTCCGAGATATTAATTGTCAAGTGACTTCTAATGTCGTATCGTGACTGACCACTAGAATAAGAGAAACTATCAAAAAGGTTGCCCGGCTAACTACCACTGTGCTAAATTAAACTGCCAGCTATTAGCTTGCATAGTAGATCTGTCATGTTGTAGCTGTGGTAAACAGTAGTGAACACTAGCCTTCAAGAAACACTAACGTTAGTGTACTTTGACCACTTATCACTTATTGTCTAAAGACTTTTCGCACAAGATGTTTTGAATGACTAATAAATTAATCCTGTTTGCCAAATAATCTAGGTTAGCGGTAAGTAACGTTAGCGTTAGGCCGGAAGATGACTGCTCATAGCAGTTAACGTTAGCTATCTGAGGTTACAACTATGTGCCGCGTTTACTGTCTGTTGACAATCAGCGACTGGTTTGTCAAAACTGAAACTGTTGGTGCCAGGGCTTGCCAGAGAGCCCCGGTACTTACCGTGCAACGCTGAAGCCTGGAGAATGGACCCCGAAGTGCCGTCAATTACTTTGATGCTGCCGCGGCTGGTAACAGCCAATATAGCATTGAGGGCCGGGTGGTAGGAAAGGCTTCGCAGGCCCTCCTCGTCGCAACGCAGGCAACCGTCCCTCAGTACAATCCAGTCTGAGGAGGTGGACGAGCCGGAGCCCGGCGAGGCCGCGGCCGCCATCTTTCCTTATTTTCCCTTCCCTTCCCTTGTGGGGTTTGTAAAGACCCGATGATACACGTAATACTGCTAAATCGGGCAAATATAACTCCGAATAATCACTCCTCTGCCACTACTGTCTCCTTCTGCGGCTTCTCCTCCGCCTGTTCCGCAGCAGGAGCTATTCACCATCAGCACTGGGGAACTCCAGGCAGGATTTGCTGTCAGATACACGATAGGTAAACGGAGTTGGCGTATCTACTCACCAACTACCGCGATAGCACCAAGTGTAAACGAGAACACAGATGGACAAATAAATAGGAACACCACAACAATAGCTCTGAAGCAAACATCGCCAGCACAAAACAGAGGTCACACCTTTTTTTTACATTGTGTTGAGAAATCGTATACAATGCACAAATGATGCAATCCAGTTAAGAAACAACTAATACTTACCGTATCTTACTATGCATTTAAGACGTACAACATGCAATATAGAAACTATAAAAAACTGTTTTGGCAAAAGGTACTACTACATATAAAGGCTAGGTTTTCATCCAGGAAACAGTCTACCAGTCAGATACCAGCAACTCCAGACCTTTATGGTGTGACTTCAAATGAATAAAACTAATGTATTTACATTAGGGTAATAAATTCCTGTTATTTACAGTGTCAATGAAATTATTAAAATAATCACAAAGGAAAAGCAGCAAATCCTTACACTTAGATTCTACAACCATGAAATGTATAGTTGCCAATTCATTTTGTGTCAACTGTTGAAGCAAATGATCAATTAATGGTTTGTATAATTGTATATACCGTTGGGTAAGTTATGTTTTAAAACAAACAAATAAAAGCCTAATGTTTCATCCAAACAGTGAGGATGGTATTACCATCTTGACCACAAAATGTAATACAGCCAGAGGATGAATCCAAATATCTGACTTTCATCTAGCACCATCATCAGGTATTTTAATTTGTTCACTACTCTGCTTTATCACGAAACACTCCCTGTGCCTGCGTGGGTTCTCTCTGGGTGCACCAGCTTCCTCTCACAGTCCATAGACATGCAGCTTAGGTTGACTGGAGACTCTAAATTGCCCGCAGGAGTGAGTGTGAGTGTGTGTGGTTGTCTGTCTCTAAGTGTCAGCCCTGTCATAGACTGGCGACCTGTCCCCCCTGGGATAGATGGATGAACGATCAAATACCTATAAAACCTAAGACATTCCCATCAGTCTCAGCTGTACTTTGTGTTTAGTGCTAATTATAAAATCTTAGCAAAACATGCTAAACTAATAGTGTGTCCCAAATCTATGCTAAGTACTAATTTATGTAGATTTTTGAGTCTGTATTCTGTTGACACTGGAACAGTGACAAAATAAAGTATGATCAGACCAGACAGAATGAAGAGCAAAAAATGTGCTTTTTAAAAGTGCTGCTGAATCACAAGATTCTCCCACAGTGCAAAGCACAAATTGAGAAGCAGCTTACAGGTGGAAAACATTAACTATATTGTGGGTGTTTAGACCTCAGAAAGAGCTTCATAAAACCAACTATTAAATCATAAAAGAGACATTCCAGTTTGTGTGATTGACATTTTTTGCCAGCAAAGTACATAATTCTTTTTATTGTAACTGCCAAAGCAGTATGCAATGATGGTTACAATGTAGAACTGTATATGCTGTATAGTATTCATGTGTAATATTGATTTTGGACACAGCAGAAGGTGGTGAACAACATTATACCTGCAATCCATTGGCATGTTAACATGCTGCCATCAGTATTTAGCAGCCTCACAGAACCACTGGCGGCTGCTGTACACTATGGCTGCAGATGTGATGTCACTTCTCTAGTATGACAACATTAGCTACTTAAAACCTGTTTAGACCTAGTGTGTAGTATGGAGCTGGACATAGCTATTGTCTTGTTCTTGTATTTATAAATTGAAGAAGACTTTGTGGGTGATTGCAGTTTGCTAAGACCATCTTAAGTTTATTGCAATATACAACATTATTTAATGTATTTGTGTGACCACCTGTGTTTGACTGTATATAATGTATTAATTAGGAAATACCAGATTTTTAAATGGCAAATGACCGTAGTAATTTACTGTATTTACTGATCAAATGTTTTCTGTATTCAACAGCCAACAAACCAGACTGAAGCATGGGAAAACAAGGCACCACATTTAGTAGACAATAGTTTATATCATCAACTGCCTTAGTCAACCTGCTCTACTCCTGAAAACCATACATTAAGGAAACATAAATGAACATTTCTTATAGTACATTACAGTGCATAACAATGGACATTATGCTCATCAGTCTCTTTGTGTGGTGTTCTCTCTCTTATCACGTGCTTCCTTCAGCATAAACATACATTATAAACACAAATATTTGGCACATCATTCAGTGTGATAGCATAAAACAAAAGTATTACACCAATATGCAACTCTGTGATTTCTTCCCCAGCATACGAACATCCAATAAATGCAGGACAACGGTGACTGAAAGAGAAGTCTGCATACCGAAGTTTAAGATGAACAGATTATATATTTTATTGACCAAAGACAAAAGGGACAAAACTATATACACTGATATATATTCCCAGTAGCCCCAGTGTCTAGAATTTAACAGAGGTTAAAAAAAAAAGGAAAGAAAGAAAGAAACACCTTTTCCAAAAAAAATCCTAGTTCCACGGTTTGACTTTTCCTCCCCATGCTCCAGGGTCAATGTCCACTGAAAGGTCCACAGTTCCAACTCATACGTCACACACCAGTGTATAGTGATAAGAAGTAGATATACAAAAGGAAAATGGGATATATGAGCAGGGGCTTCTTTGTTTTAAATTCATCTCCAACAAGCAGTGAAGCAGCGCTGTAAGCAGCCCAGAAGACTCCAAAGAGCTGAAAGATGAGAACAGACAACAGCATTGTCACTTTTATCCATCAGTGTTTCTGAGTGAGGATTAAACACACGATTCAGATCATTTCAACTGCCATGAAGGAGATTACTGTTTTTATCAAAGGCACACTCTTAGATATGTGTCATGATCTGGATTATTCAAGACTTTTTAACCAGCAGAATTACCCTTCTCCTCCCACAAACAAGCTTTTTCAGGCAACATTTGTCCTCAGGTATACAGTATATTAACTTACCAACTAACCAGCTTATGGTCATTCTTGTTTTCACGGTGTGTTAGGACAAAGATTAGCCTTTTATTATTACTAGAATCCGTATTTCCTGAGTGTGCACAAACATCACAGATGTTGTTTCATAAAGGTTAACAATATCAGACTGTCATAGTTATGGACCTGCTTCCGGTTCTTATGCTTTTATTTTTGGTTTTGGACCTCCTGCTTCCTGCCACCTCACCTACTCCAGCTTAACCACCGGTTTAATCAGCATTCATTGCATCCACCTGTTTCTTGGTATCTCCTATCGCCAGCCTATATATGTTCCTCTCTTCCCTCAGTTGGTTGCTGGTTTGTCTGGTTATCATGCCCCGGTTGCTCCAGCTGCCTGTTCTTCTCCCTCATTATACCCTGTCGCCTGCTTGGTGGGCTCCTGCCCCCAGCTCTTCGTGCCTGTGCTCAACACCTGGTTGTTCCTATTACCCCTGAGGGACTCTTCTAAATTTTGGACATTTTCCCCTGACTCTTCCCTGGACATTGCTCCTCTCTTGCAATTTAGTTTTCTGCATGTTCTGAAGATAGCTTGCCTGGGTTTTGTCTGTTACATTGTCGTTCCCTGATCGCTCTGTGTTTTAGTTGTTCAGCTGGTATTTTTCTGTTGATCTTGTGCCATCAGGTTGAGCATTTTGTTTTACCCCGTCCCTGTATTTTCTGAAAGATATCAACACTTAAACCTTGAGTTGTCATTGTGTCTGCATCTTGGGTTCTACCCTTGCCAACACTTAACACAGACTGGAATAATCATTGCATTTTAAACAAAGGGTTTTTTTTTCCTTTTGTGCTTTTTTTAAACACTTTTTCCACAAGTAGTGTATGAAACAGCAGGTGATGTGTACCAAGTTATATGTAGATGGGTTTGTCTAAGCTATTTACTTCAGTTAGTGACAGCAGATCTCTGACCCTGAAGTGTATCATCCATTCCAGGCTGGCAAACCTAATAAAAATATACAAATATTTGCAGTACTAACCATTTTCTCGCTTTTTGTCATATACCAAGATTTCAAGAGGTTGCTGATTTTAAGGCTGACCCCAAAAGTCAGTGATTTAAGTAGTGTGTCAAAAAGCCATTCTATTGGCTCACATTTTGTCTGCACTTTTTTTTTGTAATACTGACAACAGTCTGCTTGAACTATCACTACAACCCACTTTCTATAACCACTTCTTGGGGGAACCAGTCATTTTGTTCAGGCCATTTTATAAACTCCCATATTTCCACCATATACACTTTAAAGCAGCATCCTGCCACTTCTTCGGAATTTTATGCAAGGATACAGCTTGGACTGTTTATAATCTGTAGCTTTTAAAAACACATTTTAATGGCAGTTTTAAATCACAGCTTTGGCAATTTGAAAGTTTTCTGTTAAATCTTATCAAAACAGCATGCATATATAAAAAAAGAATAATCCACAAGCACATGACAAATGAATATACCCCACCAGTAGTTTGCAATGCAGCCAAATCAGGTTTTCATTTGAGAGATGGCTTCAAGCAGTGTCCACATTATCTACCCATTTTTATACAGTATGAAAAATGAACAACTGTTCATTACTGTTCTTTGACTCACTTTGATTAGTGTAGAGACCACCTCAAACCCGATTCTGAGTGTAGTTTCACTGGCTACAGGTGTCAGCTGCACTAACCTCGCCACCAAGCACACGGGCCAACAGGAAAATTGTTAGTGATCCAAATATCCAGATGGTGATGATCCAAGACACAACCTGTCAAATAAAATCACTAGTGTAAGAAGTTTAAGCAACAAAACACAAGATGGCAGTTTGTCTTTGCTGGCAGCTTATTATTACTCTGCTCTGAATGAGATGTAGCTATCTGCTAAGGAGAGTTAGCTTGGTTTACTAGCAGGTCCTCACAACTCCAAAAATATCAGAACACATTATATACTGACCACATATTGACAATCTAAGTAGCTACCTTCTCATCTGAAAACAAAAACACACACACAAAATCCAATAAAGGACCAGATATTTGTCTCTGCATGTGTGAAGATGTAAGAATACTGAATTAATGCAAGAGTCTGTGCTGTAAAGTGTTAGGCAGTTCTTGTGAGAGGTCTCTGGGACGGTAATCCTATATTTCCAAAGTGCAGAAGCAGATGATAGCAGAGATGCCATTCACCTTATTAAAAAAGGAGTCAACCATCCAAATGATTCAGAAGCTGTTATTTTAATGTAAAAACAAAGTTATATACTCTTGCTTTAACACAACAATTTTGTGACATTCATACCATACAGTTTATTTAGCAATGAGTTCCTGAGGCCAGGTTTGGGCTACTGTTCAGGAGGTGGAATGACCAGTTCCAGGTACTCTCAGGGGTTGGCAGCATTGCAGTGTTTCCCATACTTTGACTTATTTGTGGTGTGCCGGCAGAATATCAACATTGACCACTACATATGAATTTAATATATTTAATATGTAGGTTAAATCTTATTTCAGTGTAACGCCAAGTCCCTCCATGTGCTGCTCTATTTCTCCCTCACACACAAACACAAGACGACGGACTATCTGTGAACAGCTCCTCCGCTCCATGTTTGCTTTTAAAACACAATGCTGTGCTATTAGCAAGCTAGGCTAAGCAAGGCTAGTTAAGCTAAGGTTAGAATGCAGCTGCTGCCGAGTTCAGCACACTGTATATAGCATGGATGTATATGAACTGCTCAACAAGTGGATAAAGTTAATGCTAGTTGATAAACTCTGATACTGAATGTTTGCCCCCTCAGTACAGGGGAGTATCAAAAAAAATCGCTTGTGGGAATGCTGATCAGTCTAACCAATGTGATTAGCAATTAAATTGATTCATTTTGAATATTTACTGGCTCTGCTGAAGCAGCAAGAGATGATCAGGAAGAGATGGCTGAAGAGAGCGTTGTAGGTTAGGAGAGGAGGAGGGCAGCAGCCAGGGAGGGACAGGTCATACGAACAGCACAGAGGTAGCCCACTATAGTATTACTATAGAATCTAATTGTGAAAAACAATGCAATGATCAATAAGTTATGTTGCACCACAACAAGGATGACTACATGGACTCGACAATAACTGCTGAAAGAAGAAGAAGAGTTGAATGCACTTGTTGGACCAACCACTATGTGCAAACACTAATTATTGTTTGTGGAGAGGGGGCAAAAGATTTCTCCCCATCTGGCAGAAACAGGAACAGAATACCCATCCAAACAGTGCAGGGAAAACTAGCAACATGAAATAAAAATAAAGAATCACAATATATGCAGTGGAGCAAACCGAAAACCTATAAAGGGATTTGATGTGCTCGATGCTCTTTTAGGCATCTGATGAACCTGTGCATTCTCATCAGGAGCTCTGAATTAAATCAGACACAGCAGGAAAGAAAATCAGTGACCGCCACCTCTTCCACTGTTGTCTGTCCCACAACCGCTTTATTCAACTGCCTTCCAAGCAGCACATAAGTGACCCATTACAGCTGGATTCAACGTGACATTTTTATGATGCACGTATCAAAATATACCAGTTTATAGAATACAGTGAGAAAAAACCCTAGTAACAAAGTCTTAGAAGGTTCTTGAGTTATCAGATTACTGTATAGTGTAAATGGTGTCAGGTTGTGGGGGCATTAGCCTGAGCAGAGCCTCCCAGATTTCCCTCTCCCCACACACCCCCTCTAGCTCCTCGGGAGGAACCCCAGCTGGGAGACATAGTCTCTCCAACATGTTCTGGGTATGCCCAGAGGCCTTCTCCCGGAGGGGCATGCCCGTAATACCTCTCCAGGGGAGGCGTCTAGAAGGCATCCTAAACAGGTGCCCGAGCCACCTCAACTGGTTGCGCTCAACGTGGAGGAGCAGCAGCTCTACTCCAAGCTCCTCACGAGTGACTGAGCTCTGCACCCTATCCCTAAGGGTGCGGCCTGCCACTCTCCGGAGGAAACTCATTTCTGCTGCTTGTATCCGCAATCTCATTCCTTCGGTCATGATCCAAAGTTCATGGCCATAGGTCACAGGGTAAGAAAGTAAATCCTAAATTGAGAGCTTCGTCTTATGACTCAGCTCCTTCTTCACCACAACGGACCAGTACAGAGACCGCGCTACTGCGGACACCGCACCGATCTGTCTGTCAACCTGCCGCTCCATCCTTCACTCGTGAACAAGACCCCGAGATACTTAAACTCCTCCACTTGAAGGAGCAACCCAGAGAGAGCAATCCACCTTTTTTCTGACTGAGAACTATTGCCTCAGATTTGGAGGTGCTAATTCTCATCCCCACCGCTTCACACTCGGCTGCAAAACCCTCCAGTGCAGGCATGAAGAAGCCGCAAGGAAAGGAGCAACTACCAAGTGACTAACCAACTACCAAGTATCTGATGCCCTGCCGGTCATCAGATACCCCGCTGGCATAATAAGCTGGCCAAAGGAGGAGATAGAGGCCACTGACATCAAGACAAGGAAGCTCCTTACAATGCA